ACTGCACAACGAAACAAGAATCACAGAAAACCGTAATCGTCACGATAAAGGACGTCTCGATTGCTTCGAAAAACCGGTCTGAACTGTTGTTTCGCGACCACAAGACTCATAACGGAAACTTTAGGAATAGTGGAGACATCGAAATCGTTCAAGTTGGCGAACTTTCTTTTCTACAGATAGAAATTGACATTTTCCGGTATATTGTCGTGCGAACTACGTGTAATCACATTAATCAAGTCTTTAACTTTCTTTCATTTCTTCCACACATTTTCTCTCCCTCTTTTTCTTTCTCTCTCTCTCTCTCTCTCTTTTACGTGAGTATATTTTATATTAAAATATAACTCTGTTATTTTACTGAAGATAAATTTTATTGGAAAATTGATACGACGGTCTCGTTACCATGCTTATATACAATGCATATATTGTTGCAAATAAAATTATGCTACTGCGTCGGTGCACCATTTATCTCACTACATCATTTTGCAGCTTTTGATGTCTCATCAAAAACGTTTTCACGTTATTATTTTAACAAACAGATTATAATTATGCATAAAAATTATTTATAACCATATCTACCTTAAATGTTATTTTGCATTGTGATATATTACAAATAAAAAAAACTGTCGCTATATAGTAAACATAAAATAGATGTGACGCGCGTAGCGATATTTTCAATATTTTTTTAAAATATCGTAAAAAATTGTTTTCAAAAAAATAAATATACAGGGTGTCTTGTAAATTTTTGCGAACCGCTTTTGTGTAGATTAAGCGAACTAAACTGAATTGAAAAGTCCTCTATCATTTTGCAATTTTCACAATAGTTAACGAGATATTAATTACTAAAAATTGCCAAATATACAGGGTGTTTCCAAATTAAATGGCAAAACTTCGGGAGCGTGTAGAGGAGTAAAAAACTAAGAAAAAAAGTCCTATAGACATATGCTCCTTTTTGCTTTGTTTCGCAGGAAATCACGAAAAAAGAAAAAAATATATTTAATTTATTATTTTAATTATTTTATTTATAAACTTTTTAATGAAGATTTTGTTCGAAATGTGCACCTCTTGCAGCAATACAAGCATTGCATCTGTCAAACACGGCTCTTGTAGCAGCCAGGCACTGTTCTTGCGATATTCTGTTCGCTGCAGCTACGATACGATTTCTCAAATGTTGCTCTGATTGAATAGGCGAAGAATAAACTTCTTGCTTCAGAGTACCCCATGCATAGAAATCTAATGGCGTTAAGTCGGGCGAACGAGTTGCCCAATGTACTGCTCCTCCACGTCCAATCCATCGTTGTGGGAATTTTCTATCTAACCAGGTTCTAGCGACTCTGCTGTAATGAGCAGGGCATCCATCTAATTGAAACCACATTTCAGTACGTTGTTGTAATGGGATGTTTTCTAAATAGTCAGAAAATTCATTCTCCAAGAAATTTAGAAAACGGTCCCCATTTAATCTTGCAGGTAAAAAAAACGGTCCCACTAAAACGTCGTTCCAAATTCCAAGCCAGACATTAACAGAAAACTCTTGCTGAAATTTGTATTCTCTAACAGACCTGGGATTTTGATGAGCCCATAATTCCTTTGATTAATTATTCCACCTCTGGTAATTTCCACCTCTACCATTTTACAATTTTCGCAATAGTTAACAAGATATTAATTACTAAAAATTGGTCTTCAATAATTTTTTACTCAAATACTATCAACTTTACAAAAAAAACAGCAAGAGACAAAAATTGTTTATTTTCTTCTCATAAAGTTCTGAAAATTTTTTCAGAATTTTTTAATATCGTATTTTCTCATGTTGATAAAAATAAGGAAATACAGTACTAAAAAGTTGATAAAAAATTGCGAAATATTGCGAAAATTACAAAATGGTAGAGGACTTTTCGACTCAGTTTAGTCCGCTCTATCTATACAAAAGCGGTTGGCAAAAACTTACCAGACACCCTGTATATGTATATTAAATTCTTTGTATTTTTACTCTCTAATTTTTGCTTTTACCTTTTCCGATTTTATTGAGTTTTGAATTATATTATTCTCCAGACAAAAATAAGAGATACATATTATTTTTATAAAAAAAATACGTATTCCTTATTTTCGTCCGGAGAACAATATAATTAAAGCTCATTAAAATCGGAGGAGAACACTTTCAGTATTTCCTTGTTAGAAAAATCTTAAAATTAGAACTGAAAATATGTATTAAAAATATTATCTGAAATAATTTTCATCTCTCGTTATTTCAATAGTATTCACTCGAAATGGTAATCGATGTTGTTTCAAAGAGGTCCTTCAATCCTTTAACGTACGATTGAGCATTTATAAAAAAAAAGTATTTCTTGTTTTTGTATACACAGTTACACTGTTAATATGTAATACGTAAAGCTCATTAAGATTGGATAGAGGAAAAGAATTAGATATATTGCCTCGGCCTGGTTATCGTTTGCATTTCTGCAAAAACGAATAAATGTATGTGTATATTGAGCGTAAAGTTCTAATATCTTAAGTGAAATATAGTCTATCGTTTTCACTTCTTGCCTCTTGCCCAAGAAACCGAATTATAGAGGAGGGGTGGAAACAGTCGTGGCGAAATTAAGATTAAGCAGAAGAACGGAGAGAGAATAAACTGGCGCAGAAATTTGCTCGTAGTCCTTATGGCCTCCCTAAGGACAGCTAAGCAACCAAGTAACTGGTTACAGAAACGGTACGTTTATAGAGACAGCGAAATGGCTCTGGCCAGCTCTGTACGATAAGTGCTCATGGAATCGAGCGAGCGAAAACACATAAGGACTATGGTGTGAGAGGGTAACAACGGTTGGCTCGTCGAGACATTCCTCGTGCTCTTGAATCATTCCCTTTCGCCACGATCTACCGTATCTCTCTCGCTGGCGAACCGATAGCTCAATTAGTCACGAGAACGAACTCGCTTTTCCGGCTATCTCTTTTCCCCACCTTCGGCGGTTGGTGGTGTCGGCTGGTCACGAGAGAAATGGCCGGGGTGAGTCCTTAGGTTTAGGAAGGAAGGGCGGAAGTCGATAAGAGGCAAAGTGGAATCGGGAAAGCGGCGTTGTGGAAGCGCGTAAGCGAAAGATGGAAGAGGGAAAGATCGGTTGGAAGGTAGGACGACGAGCTAGGAAAAAGAACGGAACGAATGAGGGACGGGATGTTGGAGAATGCGCACGCGAACGGGAGAGGTTTTACCGCGAAAGTTTCTCGAGGGAACGAACAGAACGTCCGTTCTGCCAGCGAGCAAACCAACCCATCGATCGATAGATCCGGAACCGACGGCTCGTTTCCTTCACCTTCTTTTTTTTTCTCTTTCTCTCTTTACTAAGTCCCGCTCGGGGGACTGTACTTCTCGGTGGAAGCCTAAAGTTGCAGCTTGAGAGAAGAACACGGTGTAGTAGATCTAGTAGTACTGTGAGCGAATCACGAGTTAACGAGTGAATCGAGTTAGAGGTTTGAGATGCGGAAGTTACTGAAAGTCTTATTGGAAAATAAGAAGATACGACGCATGTTGTTGAGTATCGGAAGAAAAGTTTCAGAGGAAGCTAATTAAACTAGTTATCTCTCAAATATATGTATATAATAAAAAAAGGTTGTAATGTACATGAGACGTGATTTAAATTGGAACTTTCTACTTTGTGCAGAGCACATTCTCGATCCAGCGGAAACGATTGACGCGTTCATCGGAATTCGTAGATTTCGGTAACGCTATGTGGGCGCGCGCATTGACAAGCACTAAATCCCAGATTGAAGTACACGAAGTAGATAACGCAAAAAGCTTTCAGTAGTTTTATGACACCTATGGTAGAGTGTCGCGCAATTTGCGATCGCGAAAGCCATGCCGATGCGCGCGACGTGACTTCGTTTCGCGTCAATAACGGGTAACCGAGATATTTTCGAAATTCCCGACGATTTCCATGGTCAGAATATTTGAACGCACGGAGAGAGAGAGAGAGAGGGGGGGATTTTATTCACGATGAAACGATTTGTATCAGACGCACGACAGTGGAGGAACCACGACGAGTACGTTTATTTCATGCGCCACAATACGAGCGCGCACGCATCGTGCGTGGAGAAAAAAAATCTCGATTAATCCGATGCAAGAAGTAAGCGGTGCGTAGAGAACCCGCGCGAACGAAACATGCTCCGGCGTGTTTGCTCAGCTTGGATTTTTATCGGGCCAATAGCGAATGCCTTCACCGAATAACGCGCGGCCATCGTTTGTGCGCGCCGTTCCGTCAGCACGTGAAATTCAACCGCGCCCGCAATTGCGAATTTCACCGGGGCTAACACATACACATCTTGCTTACATACGCGCTCTGAATATTACGTTTTTTTATATCGCGTATGCAGGTACAGCCGCGGGCTGTTTTTTACCTGGGAGCTGTTACGGGGTGGCTCGATATTCACGGGAACGAGCACCGCGACAGCGAGATTTTGCGGCAAATTGCTAGGTCGTTTTGCTTAACAAAAAGTATGAAGGCATCTATTCGCCCGCGAATTTTTTTAAGTGATGAGGAATAAAAATAAAAAGGACTTTTCGCGCATCGTTCTCGTAAATGTCGCAGTTTGTACTGAAAGTTTAAACGAAACTGTCAAATATTCAACAAAAAAATATTTCTCTTTAGCTAACTCGACCTTCTGATTTCTCCGTTTGGAAAAAGAGAGCGAAGTGAAAGGCAGGTGCGGACAGTTTAGATAGGAGCCGCGATACAAATAAACTACTACCCGCATCCACCCCAGAACTCTGATCTTCTCTCTGATCCTTTTATCTTTTAATTACGCTGATTTCGCCACCCGTTTAATTCTCAATCCGCTTTTCCGACTTGAATCCAGTTTTCTCAACGCTTCCGCGATTCAATATGGATAACAATCGTTTGCTGTTTGATAAAATAGTTTAAATAGTGTCGACGAACCTTTTGGGAAATGTAACAATTTTCTATTATTTAAAAAGAATTATTCCAGGGAAAGATTATCTCGCAAAAGCTGGAAGACGGAAAATTACATACGAAGAGTAACATATCCTAGAAATAAAATCTGGAATCGTAGATCCAAATAAATTTTAAGAGAACGCTAAACCGACACTCACGGTTGAGCCAACGCATTACTTCCACGAAGGAAATAGCGTCTTGAGGGGAGAATCCAAGAGACGAGGATAAATAAGAGGAACGTGCAAATCTCTGGAGAGCCGAAACGTTCTGCGCGCCTTCGCGATCGATATATCCGAAAGGCTTTCGGACCGTGGGAAACACAGTGATTCCCGGTCCTCGACGAGGAGCGTGCAGCAGCTCTCCTGGATATCGTGATCGTTACGGCGCATCTGAATGCGGACTCTCTCGATACGGGTGGAGAGGAGGGGGAGGGGGGAGGAAGAGAGGAGAGGAAAGGAGTGTCCGTCTCCCCGTCCGGCTCCTTTCCAGTCACCGTGTGTATTCGCCCGGCAAGCGAGTTCCCCGTGCGAATTGAAAGTGCTGAAAGTCCCGTCGAAGCGAATTGCCAATTGCTTCGTCGCTCTCAGCCAGGGGCTTACTATGGCACGGAATTGGAAATACCGATGGCGCGGCTTTCTCTCCAACCGTCTGCCGCGAGACAGGACTGTAGGATTCACTCCAACGTGTATATACATACGTACATATGCCAGGTTGCGGGTTATATACAAAGACGTAGGATTTGTTTCGATGGATAGAAAGGGTGGGGTAGATACGCGTTAACCTGTCAAAAGTTTAATCAATCTTCCGAAATCTGCGGATCTCTTGGACGTGATTTCGAAATCTCACGGATCGTTCGCAAGGAAATGTCAGTTGTATTGGCCAGGGGATCGTAGAGAGTGTCTCAAACTTTACGAATCTCGCTGAATCTCGTCGAAGATAGCATCACTGGAGAAACATACTTGTCCGCCAAGTTTAGATCGCTACGTCATATGACGTGACGAGCCAAATATTAATATCCTTTCGAGCTATATCGACTCGTATCTACCTCGTTGATTTCACTTCAATTATTAATCGTTTCGTCTGTCGAACGCTATGAGATCACAATGCTCATTTATAATGTCCGTCTCGCTGATCTGTATTGTGAGTTAACGTCATCAATATTAACGGGGGGTTACTCGCGCACGCAGGAGATGCGTTTATGTTGAACCACGCGTTAAACATGCGGAAAAATTCGCACTCACGCCCTGCTTGAAAAATACAAACATATATATATATACATGCACGCGTAATGAGAACGCGGTTTATGCATGCCGTGACGCGCGTGAGATTCCGCAATGCGTGGAATTCGTATTTGTACGCACGATGACGTATGTTCGTGCGAACGGTGGATCGCGTACTCACGTACGCACGACGCGTGCACGCAACAGGCACGCGTGATCAACAGACCGTGACGATGGAGAGTGTGGTCGTCTTCGGCGAGGCATAGGCGTGTATCGACTGAGAGTACCTCGATTGTCAAATGCGCAGGGGATCCGTGTGCGGATTCGCGTCGGGCTTGTGTCGCGCCGCGCAGAAGCTCAGGCCGAAGCACAGCATCAGCAACGCCACCGAGCCGACCAGCAAGTGACTCGACCAGGACACCGAGCACTTCCCTGAAACAGATGGCATCCGTTCGTCATCGACTCGTCTCGATGATCCCCCTGGTGAAACCTCGACAGCGATCCGTAGCTAGGTAGCTACCCACGGGAATTTCCCCGAGAATAGCTTAGTCGGCCTAATCGTCGTGCCGAGGTTGAATGTAATCGTCGCTTGTAATAGCTTAATCAGCGCACCAAGATAGGCTAATAAATTGAGACGGACAGATTTGTCTTATGGCGTAAGCCATGGAATTAAGGGGATTACTTACAGAAGCTGCTTTTTAAGATATTACAATTGGAGAAATAAAAGATTGCTTTCTATTAGGTTGGTGCAAAAAAATGTCGGTTTTTCTGTATTGCTATTAAGAGCAGTCGTAACTTCGTTAAAAACTGAACAAAACTTAAATTTAAAAAAGGCTTTTATATAAAGCTTGAAAACTGTACTTTCAAAGACTTACTATATTTTTTGAGTTTATGTGAGTTTGATCATTTTTACATATAGAAAACTACCAGTTAAAAAAAATGAAAAAATATTTTTTCACTTTATAAGTCTGTTGCGTGCCCCCTAAAAAAAATCGAGAAAATTTTTTATTATCTATCGTGAAAGATTGAATTCTCTACAAAATCGGTTACCTTTGACAAGTATACCGGAATTTGTTCAGATTTTTATATAATCCGGAACAAAAAAATTTGCTCTGTTTCTCAAAAGCCCCCACGTTAATGGAAGAGTTAAAACTCTATATTGTTGACAAAGGGTTAAATTAATTTTGTCAATTTTAGATATTTGTTTATCTTGATACTAGTATAAATAAATGTTTTTGCGATAGAAATAAACAGAGCGAAACATTCTATTTAAACCTGATGATAATATAATGGCATAAATGAACATAATAATAAGTATAACCGATATTGTCACTGACGTAAATAGAATACCTATAAATCTAATTTAACGCTAAAATAATAGAAATGTTATTTGCGATTGTGTTATAATTGGAAATATATCGATAGTAACGATCGGTTCGAACAATTTTAGATAATTGGAACGTACTGATGCTTCTATCAGAATTTATAAATAAGTTTAATTTTCAACCCGTAGGAGATGTCGTTTAACTAACGGTACTTTATTGAAAATATATGTGATTCGGTCGTCACACATCGCTGTGACATTGGTTTTGACGTCGGTTTGACCTACCAATCCAGGTCTATTCCTAGCACTCACCTGGGATTACTTGTCACCTGTATACCGAAAAGCACGGATTATACTGGATATTCGATAACCCTTCAAAATTCTATCGAAAAAAATGTACAACCGCGCCTACATTCAAAACATCCTGAAATTGTCGTGATTAATTTTGTTAAAAGTTTCCTTTGTCGATACAAAATTGCTTTTTTCATATATTATAACTCAAAAAATGTTGAGACATCTTGATAGAATCTTCAAGAAAAAATTTAAGATATTTTAATGCGACAATTTCTATTTGACGCAGCAGCACGAAATAAACGAATATTTTCTTTGGGTTCCATCGCGCTGTTAAACCGGATGCGGATTTATTAGAGATGATCCTGCATGCGAAATACAACGTATGCATCCGCAGTCATGGAGAATCAATAACGAATCATCCCTCGAGTATTGAAAGGCAAATCATCGGATTGCCGACGTCGAATCGCATCGTTGCGTGTCGCGTTGGGAAATTACGAGGAAATCAGAAACTACATCTGAGACCAGTGAGACGTGAATTTGTACGTCCCGTAAAGTTACACACAAGAGCCATAAGTCTCGATTGATTTATGTTAAGTCTCGAAGAAACGACTGTAAATCGTTGAATGCTCGATAAAACGCCCCGGGAACTCGCCTGCGAAAATGCAGAAGGTTCCATTACTGATTCCAGTCCATCGTCGTCGTCGCTGTCGTCATCTGGTAGTTACGTCTTAAGAGTGATTACGTACAGACACATGTCCGCAGATTTCGCCGCGTCACGTCGCATTGGAACGGCAATTTCTCGCTGAAGACGTCGTTAAACTAGGAAACGAGCAACTAAAGCAACTCTTCTCTCGCGCGCGCGCGCAAATTCGTCGAGCACGTTAATTAGTTATCAAATTAAATCAATAACTCGCGCACCACATTCCGCCGAAATTAAGTTCCGGCACCATTCCACGCGGTTTGCATCCCGCGAAACCTGCATCGCGTTCCTGCAGACTCGAAAATGATGTTTCGAGGACGAAGGCACTCACCGAGATTGTAAACGTTGGCCCCCTTCCCACAGGATTCGCGTACCTCCCGATTATCCCAGCCTATCGGATACATAACCAGGCCGCCGCATATCATCGTGGCTGTAACAAGTAAATGAAAGTGGCCTATCAATTTTAAATTGCGCACTTGAATTTACACTGTAAGAAATTTCTAGAAAGTTGTAAACTTCCAGAAGTATTGGAAGTTTTGATCCAACAAAAATGTGTTGTAAATTTAAACAGTTTTATTGTGAAATTGTAATAACATTTTGTGGTAAAATATATACAAATCTCTAATGCGCATGCGTGATGCGTCAATTTTGCGTAAATTCACAACAAATTTCTTATAAATTTGCAAATATTGTGAGATCACAGCAAAACATTATATGGTTTGTAAATTTACTGTACATTTTTATTAAGGGTATTGTAAATTCATAAACTAGCAGTGTAGTTGCCATTGAAAAGTCTCGATCAATTTCATCTGTTTACTCTTTTGTAGTACTGATAATATTGTTAAGATATTTAAATAAGTTTCTTCCCCTTGAAAATATTAGGTACTTATATAAAGATGAAGAATGAGATTAGATTGCAAAATTAATTTGCTTGCAAAATATGAATATTTTAATAAAAAGAAGCTGCCCTGCTCACACGAAATTTGTAATTTTAACATTGTGTAATCAAATGTTTTTCTTGTAAAAAAAATATTATGACATTCCCGGCTTCGTCCTGCATCGATCATGTCTGTGACTCTGTCATTTTTCGAAAGCGATTCTTGAACATAGAAAAGGATCGAAAACAACGAACTAACTTGAACCGCGTAAATGGAATATGTCAATGTTAGAAGAAGAATGACATCGCTTGATATCTATTTTATTTGGGGACAGTTCATTATTTCGCTGCGAAATGCAAGTCTCTCGCAGCTCCATTGGTTTCGCATCAATTTGACGAGCGGGGATGGGTTGTCATTTTTGAAAAGGTGCGCGAGATTATTTTTTTCGCTCATGCTCAATAAAAGGATTCAAAGTTTATTTTATCGTATTTAATGATATGCGAAAAATATTTTTCTCTCATAAATGGTAACGGAACATTGATGGTAATGGACGCACATATAATAGCCAAATTTAATTACAAGTTGCGAAAAATACTTATAATACACTCACCAGCGAGCAGTTGTAAGGAACCAAGAATCCTCGTGTGTTTTGGCGTTTTGAGAATATGCGGAAGGAATGACGATGCTGCTGCTAAAAGCGTCAGAGCGCCGATCACTGCAATCGCGACGCCGATACCCATCGTGACTGTGCTCGCCTGCCACCAAACACTCGGTATGTCCCAAAAACTGCAACGAAATATCGCTTATGATAAAAAAAAACTCTTCAATAATTTAATTGAAATTTTCCATATTTTTTAAAAAGAATATTTATATACAGTCACAATAGCAACAAGAGCATTGTCAATAATTCTTTGAAAGGAACCGAGTATATTAAACATTATGATTATTGGTGCGCAAAAAGGTTTTATTTGTTAATTGTGTAATAGAACGATTCAAATAATATCGAAGTTTCAATTGGCGCACAATGTGTTTATCACGAATTTAACGAAATAAACTTTATTCGCGGTATTTATATATTTATCTTTCTACATTAATCAATAACATGCGCAATGCATATGACAAAATTAGCGCGGATTTATCGAGCCAATGCCTCAAGCAAAACGAGGGAGTAAATTTATTTTCATATAATTACATCCTGATACAATAATGCAATAATATTATAGAAACTAACTCATACGTAAAATCATTTGGCTATTGCATTTCGATATACAATCAAAATTTTCACAGCGAAATTAAGCAAAATTAAGTTAAATTATATGATGGATTTGCAGAATATATTTTCTGGTATTTTGAACAAAAATTGATAATTTACATTATGTAATTTGTAACAGTTTCTCAGTTGATATCTTTATATTATAATTGCAACTTGAATCTCTCAAGTGCAGAAAATATGCTATAATTCACATTAATGAAAAATATTATAAAGCAGACACAAACATAAACAAACGTTCTATAGAAATTTAGAAAAATATATAAAACGTCGAATGTTATTCCAAATAAAGAATCGGCTCTCTGATGAAACTGCCGATGCTGAAAAACGAAAGGGTGGTACAAGAGGATATGGAAACGAACGAAACTATGCGGAATATTTTTCGTTCTATGCAAATATTATTTGTGAGAGATATCGTCGCGTAAAATATTGTATTAATATCTGTTTTTAACTTCCTAAAGTTTTGATCCGTTAACCATATGACTAAACACGATATTTTTCGGGGTGGTATTCTCATGATGGACGTATATTAGGTGTACTCTTGTTCATTTTGAAGGAGTCGCCACGTTGCCGTGGGTATTTGAAGTTGGCGCTATGTCATTATGTCATTGTGACATTATGATGCGTTCTTTCCTTCAGAAATCGAAAAAAGAAATGTAAATTTCTGCATCCTTTTTTTCGGAAACTATTTGTACACATTTTTACTTGACATGTACTCATTTTCGCAATATGTCACTTCAAAGTTACTGCGATGTAAATGTTTAAAATGGTCGCATCTGGTTGTGCGCAGAACGGTACGAAATTCGTTTCGAAAACGAGCATACCTAATATACTTCCATCACGGGTATTCTGACGTAAAATATCGTATATTGTTCCCTCCTTTATTTCGTAAAAAAAAATAGATTATCAATTGTAGCGAGCAAAATTGAAGCCACTCACGTATTTCTTACATTTTCGTAACTCTTCCCTCGACCTACTATTTATTTCGGGCGTTGCTAACTCGTATAGCTTTCTGTGTCAGCTAATTTTGAATAAATCCAATTCTCGAAATATTTTAAACACATTTATTGAAATGCCGTTGCAATAACTGCAAAGAATATTCGGTAGTATAATAATAACATAAAAAATAACTTTGAATATTTTAAGAAATTATTTTGTAAAGTTTGTGTGCCGTGAAACTAATAATTAATAAATCGCCGAATTGATTACATGCCGAAAGATAACGTTTATAGAACTATCGGAACGTCTCGATTTACAGAGACTAGCTATTAGCACTTATCGTGGTTGTATTGCTTGCATTAAGGGATGGAAGAGAAGGGAGAAACACATTTCGCGTGTGTACGATTATGCTATCGTGCGCATTTGGCCAATCGGGAAATTGCTTGTGGTACAACCGACACTTTCGAGAATCAGATATTGAAACGGCTATAATGCATACCCGGTGAGTTTACATTGCGATGCTGCGATGCAAAAAAGATTGTTAACACATGGCAATCAACGTAATAATAATAATAATAATAATAATAACAACGTAAGATGCATTTTGCAATATCAAAAACGTCGACATTAAACTCAGCAAAATCTGTCATTAAGATTAAATTTCCTTGAAAAATTTATCAGCATCACTATACGTATATCTAATTGACAGTGGATGAAATCCGAGTGAATCCTTATTTGAGTCTATATCGCAAATGAAAAAGAAACGAAAACATGAAGCGGCTTCGTAGGATGACACTGACACCATCCGACCTACATACGAATTTACGAAAATTAAATCAGAGATACATACGCGAGATACATATTTTTATATCCCTTTTCGTAGCGAGATCTCGTTAGAAAGAGTATAAGCGGAATTAAATCTGTGGATGACTCATTGTCGACACTCGTGTTTGCCATACGGTATTCTCGATAAAAAACGAAAGTATACGTTTTCTTTTTTTACAAAAAAAAAGCCTCCCGGAGATAGAAATATTAAGGCAAAGCTATAATTCCATTTTAGCTATTGTATTATAATAATAGTCATATACCTTAATTAACGTGATATTAACGTCGAAATCCGCTTGCTTTAAAACCGATTCGAGAATAAAGCGCATTAGAGAAAATCAAGTTCCATCTGTTGACGAGCGTTTTTAAAAATGTATAATAGTGATACGCGCGTGTCAATTTTATTTTTTGTCTTTTCCGCTATTGTATATGCTCTCGTGAAATAAGAACACATACACGCAATTGTCAGAACAATCTCCATACAATTCTATACCGTTACTGACGTCATCAATACATATGTATAGCTAAATCGATCATATTGTCTGTTAAAACTGAACTAACAAACTAACAACTCATGTAACGCAAAACTGTAATTCTCTTAACTGTCAGGCAAAACTCATCGATTCAAACGGCATCAAATTAAACCTGAGATATATTACGATTTCTACGACCAGCTGCGAAACACGTTACAGATTGCGCATGCGAGTGCATCAGTGATGCACGAGGGCGGAGTGTTAGATCAATCAACGAGTGCGCAAGCAACGAAAAAGAAAAGGACTTACATAATTTGTCATGGGTCATTGCTTCGCTTTTACCACATACATGCAAACTTCGCGTGTACTTTCGATTGCAAATCCTCTTCGCAGTCGATAGCGGTGGTACCGTAATTCGAATTTGGAATTGACTTTAATTTTTGTTTTTAACGCTTTCACCGATTTACGGAGTGACTACGGGGATTCGATCGTTTATATAGTTGCGGAATAAATATAATCAGTAAAAAAACACATGATTTGCAAATACCTTTTGTATTTTGCACTCAAAATTCAATTAAATCCGATTAATCACGCGTTTGCACACCGTTATCACTATTGCTATTATGGTCATTATCGGTGTTATAACGTAAACAAACATATATCGATTAATTTCATATATTGATATTAACAATATTAACATTATTAATAGCACGAAAATTTATTTTTATGCATACTTAAAGCGTGAAAATTTATTTTAATGTAAGTTTAATGTAAATTACGTGTAACTTACATATATTTTTAATTACACAATATAATTTAGAGTTGTTATTTATACAAGGTGTCCGGTAAGTTTTGACAAAGCTAATCTGAATCAAAAAGTCCTCTACTATTTTGCAATTTTCGCAATAGTCAACGAGATGTTATCTAAAGATTGTCGAATAAGCGGATAAACTCGACGCAAGAAAACTTTAAAATTTCTTTCGGAGATCTTTATGAAATATCTTAGGCCCGTATTCATAGTCAGACCTTATCTTTAAAACTTCCTTAAATTTATCTTCAGATGCTCTACAAATTATTTCATTGGCTACTGAGCATCTAAAGATAAATTTAAGGAAGCCTTAAATACAAGGTCTAACTATGAATACGGGCATTAAAAATGTTTCTTAAATAACGCTTAAAGGTACCTTAAAATTTTTGCGTCGATTTTAGATATTCTGCTTATTGGATAATTAAAAAAAAGTTGTGAAAATTGTAAAATGGTAAAGGACTTTTTGACTCAGTTTAGTCCGCTCTATTTGCATAAGTGTGCTTCGTCAAAACTTACCGGACACCTTGTACATTATTTCCAATATAAACTCTAAAAATACGTATAAAATCGAATGATAATATTTAACTCAATAATTTTTGCACGCTCGGAAGCTTAAGAGGATTGACCGTAAATTAATTTCTACATTAACAGGTGAAAAGCATTTCGTTTATTTAGATAAAACAAATAAGATGTAACCGTTCTTTGAGTGTTTTGTGTGATATGCTATCTAAATCTGAATGTTTTGCGCAGAAAAAAGAAAAAACCATGTCGTTTCTTTCATACTTAATTCTTCATAATTCCCTTTGTTAACAATAATGCCTTAGTTTTAATGCCGCGAGCGAACATGATTTTTACGACCGCGCACACGACAAAATTGACGTAGTTTGCAAAGAAAGTTTTTATAGTGCAATATGTCGTTTTCTCACGCGATCGCGACATCTGTACGAAGTATTCCGTAAAAAATTATTTCACAAATTGTACACTTGAGTCCGACTAAAATTATCCAGATTCTCGTTCCAAACTTGAATTAATCCGTCCGTCATCAAAACTTCGAATATTACTCCCTCGCGTACGGTTCATAAATGTGTGCAAATTTCTTTTTCCACGCGCACGACATAGTTTGTGTAATTTAAATTCCACGATTCGCGCTAAATGTTCATTTCAAGCAAACGTTTAATCCTCGTTTGTATGAATTAGTTCATTTACGATGTTACATATATTATTATTTATTAATAAAAAGCATCATACGTAAAACATTTTTTTAAACATATAGTAAGAATAAAAAGTATTCGTACAAGGAAATTTTTTATAAAAACAGTCTTATTTGTAGAAAATAAACATTAATTAGCAATTTTATACAATGAATACATTCTATTCTAAAATAAACGAGCATCCAAACAATTTTTAATTTTCGCTTATTTTTCAGATGATATATTTTCTATAATTAATACACATCTTTTTAGTATATATAATTTAAAAAAACATATACAGTCTATTTTATTCTTTATAAATAAATTGTTAATTACCCAACAAGAAATGATCGCCAATTAAACGTCGAATCGACGTCAAATTGGTGTTGAAATCATATCGATATTGATTCGGCATCAGTTCGATGACTCATTTCTCGCTGGATAATATTTACTTTTTAAAAATAAAGTTTTTTTTTTTAATATTTTCTCTGTACTACTTTTTGCACTCACTGTATATAAATTTTACTCTATATTGCTATCGCAGAGAATGAATATGTTATTTTATTCTGGTAATATAATGCGTTCACGCGCTCTATAATCTTGATCATCAAAATCTTGAATTAGACATCTCGTTGAAACGAGATAATTAAAATCGCATGTGATAAGAGGTATTTCGGCATCCGAAATCGTTCTCGTTTTAGTTAACCGGCTCGTTGGTTCACAAGAATGACTCGAGCAGATTCAGTGAACAACTGTTCCACCGCATTTCGAGCATTTCGAGCGCCCCATGAGCAGAGTCTCTTGCTCCTCGAGGTGCTTAATCGTATAGTTATGTACTTGCACCCATTCGCTTTGATATGAGAATATAGTGATGCGAGAATACGTACCTTGAATACCTCGCACACTCATAAACTATCTCGGGCGTGGCGTTAGGCGCTCTGATTCGCGGGTAGTTGCAACGTCGAAAGGAACTGAAGTACGCGTCAGCCTTCCCCAACAGTCGTCCCTGAAATGCACAAGATCGCGGAAATACGATTGTTACTCTATTACGTTTAACGCTAGGCTTTATAATAAAACTGTATAAAACATCGAAGCTCGCTAACTTCAGCAAAAAAATGGAGATAGTAAACTTCAAATTACAGGCTATGCCGTCAATGAAAGTACATAGAGCTCATAAATATTAAAGAAATTTACAGACTTAATTTCATCCCCCTCTTTTTAACATAACTTTCCTGAGTTGTTTGTAGAATGGCAGGTAATTGTAGAAATAAGATGAGGAATATTTGAATAAGTGTAAAGTAGAAACGTCGACATCATTTGAACGCTGCTGATTCGTGGCATGAAGATTGTCGCATCGCGCGAGCATGCAACAGCATCCGGGGCAAAAGACTTATACAGTCTATTCATTTATATGCGAAGGCGATGGCATAGCAAGGGAAATTTTCTCTCGTTTCCAACAGATTTTACACGGCGCCAAAGAAAATGTCTCGCCGTCCTGTTTGAATGCTTTTGATTGCTTCTCTTAATACGGAAAAAATATAGCGTGACCGTCTGGCGGAGGAGTAATAAGCTCGCTTGTCGTTTGCCAAATGCCGTTTTCTTCAAGCATGTTTCTTTTTTCGCATTTATTTCCATTAATATACCATAATAAAAGTCTTTGACTAAACATATAATTGCGCGATTTTATAAATAAGTTCTTTTTTTTATTAAGTTTCTTATTTCCTGCTTATAAATAAATCTAAACGTTTCTAAGAATGAAAAATATATATAATAATTAATATGAAAAGAAGATTACAATAATATTTTTTATTGAAAAAGAATTATCTCTTAAAAATTTATTTTTCCATTATAGTGACAAAATTGATTCAAACATAAACTCTAATTAAATAAAGCTCTGAAAAAATCACGTTAGATACATACAAACGATATATAAACGAGACTATATCATACAAAATTACGTTCGTATATAAAATAAATGCATTCGTATGGAAATTTATGTTAACTCTGATCTATTCAAATTTACTATACGATCGTTTTGATCAATATATTATAATTAAAAATTCTAAAATAAATAAAAAATTTTCGTAGAAAAAAGATGTTACATTAACAGATGAAGTTATCAAATACCTCAGAGAAAATCGTTTTTAAATAAAATATTAATAAGAAAATTAATTACATTTCGAGTCAAGATTCGAACAAACCAGTAGAATTAATAATTATATTTATTTACAAAAATGTATGGTAATGCCATAAAATGTAGCACTTAATTTACGCTTATAAGCCTATGCATGATATACATTCTAAAGAAAGGAGATTAGTTTACACAAAATATACACATGTATAATTGGTTCTAAAGAGAAGCATCATCTGTTAATTAAACTGATGAAACGCTTTGGCTAACAAGATTCCTCTTGTAACAAGGCTCCCCTTATAGCTCTAGATTCCTTCGGTGATTCGCTATACGGAGAATCGATACGTCATTAATCCTAAACTGTACAAACGAGCTCTCAGAAACGTATATCCACAATCAACGGTAACAAGATCTCGGAAAAGTAAATTGTAATTTCTTTCACCACCCGCGGAACCTAAAACCGGTAAAAAAGGTTTGTTAAGTCTACGTACAACGTTAGCTGCCTAGAGAAAATGCAAAATAGATTCGAAGCGGAAAAAGTTACAGTTTCCTGACGATATGACTAAAAAGCAGGAATCTCTCTTTCGAGAGACGGCTTCATTTGCGACGTGACACGTGGAATATGAACAATTTGGTCGCAAGTGAGGCCAAACTACCTTGAATCTGCAACTACATCGGCCAGGCCAGGTAAAGGCAAGTAGCAGTCACACGAAGTACAAAGTTACCCGACGATATTCGCCTCATCAACTTCTCTCTACCAAGTTGTCGGTGCCCAAAGCGTTCTTGTCGCGTTCAAGAATCTTGTACGCGTAACGAACGTCTCAGTAAGTTTCAAGGACCGAAATTTTCCTTCGCGTCACAATCAAGACTTTGTTACACTTGTTGACAATGCCGAATTGTAGTTAGAGTGAAATTATTCAATTCTCTGAATTACAGTCTCTTTGATATATTAGTGCATTATTGTTTCGTTACGTGAATACATATAATTATTATTACGATTTTCAACATACATTTTTACTAATTTTTTTATTACCATTCTAGTTCTACATGTCTAAAGAACTTAATAACTTTGAATTCTTTATCATATTCGTTAACATGATATACATTGATATTTCTTTTGATATTGAAATTTCTTCCCTCGTGTGTTTTATTTTATTACAATATAAATTTCTTTTAGTTCGTTTAACTTTACTAAACTACTAATTACGTGACAAATATCTGTGTATTGAGACGTTTGCGCTGTAGAACTAATGTTTCAGTTCCGTCGGTTCATTCGTGGTTTAGAACGAAGAATTCGATTACTATCGCCGTTCTACGATCCATCTTGTCGGATGACTCGAGCTTGTTCGATTTCTCACGTTTTCTTTGCCATCCTCCTTCCACTTCTTATTTCTCTAGCTTCTCTGCTTTTCTTATTTCCAAGTTGCTCTTTTCTCACTATTTTTCGTTTTTGTATTTCGCTTCTTTGTCGCAAACTCCGCTGCTATTCATCTCGTCCGATTTTACATCTTGTGCACGAACAAAAATGAAACGTAAATAGCTAGTAACATTATACACGTGTAATGTTGCAATCTTATCTCAATATTAAAGCTCGCGAGTTCAAAGGCGCTTTAAAACGAATATCCTTTAATCCGCGTTTTGTCGAAGACACGCTCGCATTCATGGTTCCCAGCTAATTTATTGAGAAATACTTCGATATACATATAATCGTATTACACTTAACTACGTAGCAGAAATCAAGAATTAATGGGAATGAGAATTGGAGAGCCATTGCGCCGCTCTCGTTATTCGTAACCCGACCTCAGCAAGTCCTGAAATTCGAGTTCGCGAGTTTCAACCGTCTGATCTCCCAATGAATGGCTCGAGAGTGATAAATGAACTGCCGCTTGAATACGTGCAAAAAGCACACGACGTAAGAAGTAACGTAAGAAAAACGTACAATTTTCCGTTTAATAAATATACACACAATATTCTGTTCTCTCCTGAATTACAGTTTCAACGTAGATGCGTCGCGTACCCCGATACACTAATTTGTCGATAAACTTGACACACCTTATTGAAATCGTGAAACGTTCTTGGTATGCACGTCGTTGAAACTCACGAAATTACCAGTACTTTCGTGGCCGAACACGCAAATTTCGTCGGTTTTATCGCGACGCTTATTAAATCGCTTTATGATCGTACCAGAGAAATTCTCACAGTCGTCAAAATCGTCGACACGAGACCCTTCGACGATAAGCGAGGAGGCGAGAACGACTTCTTCACATCTTCGTGTCATCACCGTCATGTTAACGATGCGAAGTCCTTACATACGGAGATACGTCATGGAAAATGCAAAAACTACGATCGTACGTGTATGTGAAATTCAGAATGACCCTTCGATGTCACAAAAACGCGAAAAAAGATGTCGTAAACTTTTATAGTGACGGAACAGAGTAGTGTAGTTAAATTTGTAAGCGTGAATTTCCACGTACTTGATAAACATAATTTTAAAAGTTGCTTCACGGAGAGAATTTTTTCTTAGAATTTAGCCTGAAAATATGGTAGTCCTGGGACGTTATATTTCAAAGAATTTTTTATGTAAATTTCTCTCATTCATTAATAAAACTATAATAAAATATAAAATAAGTTTGATTAATTTCACTGAAGTGCACAGTAAAAATCTTTAAAATTCAATTAATGTACAATCAGGGCTATTAGAGCCTAGCAAGATAACGTATGCTATAATTATAATGATTTATTACATTTCATATAAACTTAAACAATGTTCAAACGTTTCGAACATTGTTTAAGTTTGTCCACTGAAGAGGACCATTGGAAAAAAGATCAAAACGATTGAACATTATTTATATGAAATGTAATAAAGCATTATAATTATAGCATACGTTATCTTGCTAGGCTCTAATAGCCCTAATTGTTCATTAATTGAATTTTATTCTTATTGAGCCGAAACTCAAATTATTCTTAACTGTTAATCTTTAAAATATTGTATTGTACCACAACTACCATATTTTCAGGGTAAATTAAAAAAAAATTCTCTCCATGTGTAGTAATCAGGTAAAAGTTATCGATGATTTGTTCGCTAATCGTGCATATCGAAGTATTGGCCAGTAGTATATCATCGCGGAACTAATTCAGTTGTGACCGGTAATAATGCTATTTTATCCGATTGAACGAGATGCTTTCATATTTATCGGTACCCTACTTTATAGCCCCATTAATGTCGCATTAATGACCATTAAACATCCAAGAGCGCTAATGTATCGCGCGACAGAGAAAAAAGCGATATTGATTTAATGATAAAGATTAGTGTTAATTTACGTGAATCCAAGAGAAACAAAAAACAGAAGGAACAAAATTCTCGTGTTTCCTTAATCATCTGTGGCTACCTCATAACTCCTTCAAAATTCCCTAGCGATTAACTGTTATAATCTTTAAACATTGCTTCAACGGCAAGGAGTTTAAAAACTTTTGAAAACTGGATCCCCACTTTTATAGCTCTTTATAACGACATAACGTAATTAAAAACGCGTAACGCGATTGCTCACCTGAATCCAGTAAGGCAGATAAAAACCGGAGCACGCGAGAATCGAGGCCACAGTGGACAGAGTAGCCCACAGCACGCACAGCACTGTCATCTCATCGGTTTAGGAGGGACCACCTCTCTCCCTCACGCACTGCAGTTCATCCTCCATCCGTGCATAACTGTAGGGGACCACCCCCCTAAGCGGTGTCAGGATCACGAACTTCGACGCACCCGCACGGCACCTGCATACGATCGTGGACAGCCGATCCCGACAGCCGCTCTCGACAACGTTGACCCTCGTCGCTGTTAAACCCTCTCTTTACGTCATGGCTGGCAAAAGGCGACGATCGATTGTGTGAGTGACATTTATTAGGGTATTGATGTTCCTGTCGCGGCTCGTTTGACACTCGCGGGCTGTTAATTCCGGGATCGATCGACCTCCTCCTAATCGCGGATCAGAACGTGCTTGGCGATGCGTTCTACGGGTTCGAACATTCGAGTATTTTAATCATTCCCTCTTAATCATTCGGTCCTTATCGTCATTTCCGACGACGAGAGATCAACGCGAAGCCGTTAATTCAGATTCCACGAGAAATTACTCGGCTCGTAAAACGTGACCGAGGTGTCGCTCAGAATATCACTTCTCCGAAATGAGTCACGCGGTTAATTCTGATTTCCATTCTGTAATATATATATCTCTCATGTCGCAAAATTCATGCCGAGTAACGACGAAGCGATTTCCCACTTACACACTGCGGGAAACCACAAGAAAGTTACCCTTCCAAACGATTGCACAGTTCACTGCCTGAAGTTCCATAGACGAGCCACTCTGTTTGTAAGCCACAACTGTTATCCAGGTTCAAGTTCATTATTCCGCAGAATGCATTAATACCTTGTTAATAATCTTCTTTTGATTAAATGTTCCAAAGATCGCTTCCCGAAGTTACTACGTATTGTCATATGGATCTGGCTAATTATTCAAAACGTGACATTTATTAGAGAACGTTCAAAAAAAAATTAATGATGTGCAAGTCGTATCCTTTGTTTTTTCTGCATCGCGTTATTAATTTACCAAGAGTCCGTTTTCCATCGAGAATCCACTCATGGACCTAAATTCTTGCAGAGATGGTACTTTGTTCCCCTGCCAGGCGCCTCCTCCAAGGTTAATTATAGATGCGATCACTACTACCCACGCTGCGGTGCTCGTTCTCCACCACGCTCTCGATAAGTGAAGCACGTTCATAAAAAGTATTCGTATCATTCGTTTTGGAGTCGGGCGCCCGCGCCGTCACTCTCACGTTCGCGGCGCGAAAGATCTTGAGAAAATCGCGAGACAGAGATCGTGTGGCGGAAAATTGATGTCAAATCGATATTTCCGGTTGAAATTTAATTTTCAACCCGGAAGTCGACGACACCTTTTTCTAAAGCGAACGGAGACGAGACGACCGATTATTACCGTCGTCGTTGTTCGCCGTTGTCGTCGTCGTCATCCGTCGTCGTCCGTCGTTGTCGTCGCGCACGGCGCCGCTTCGTGGCTGCGACTGAACGGTTCCGTTCTCCACACTCGCGGCTGCGTTCCTCTCTCTTCTCGCTTCTCTCCTACCCGCGTCGGTTCGTGCCGCGCCGCGCCGCGCCGCGCTGCGACCGCACTGTGTGGGAGGATCGAGGGCGCCCGACGACGCACCAGCATCCCGCTCTTGGACATCTGGCGAGCATGCACGCGTGGAGAACGGCGACCTCCGA